CCTCCCCAGCTCACACGCACGCCCGGGCCGGGCACGACTTCCCCGCCACTCGCCCCCCCGCCATGTGCGGCCGCGCGTCACCGTCCTCCGGCCCTGCCACCTGCCCGGGGAGTGGAGCAGCCCCCCTCCCTAGCCGGGAGGCACCACGCCCCGCGGGAGGGGGGGAAGCAGCAGCAGCAGGAGCCGCCCCCGCCCGCTCAGTGTGGTGCCTCCCCCCACGCTCCGATTGGTCCGTTCCATTGGCGTGTGTTGCCAAAAATGGGCATGTGCGTGCGACTACGCGAGCGCGGGTTTCCTTGGTTCGGATGACGTGTTCCAGGAGGGATTCCCTGGCTGAGCGGCTCAGCCACCGGCGCTTAAAGGGGCAGCGCCGCGGCGTGGGGGAAGTGCAGGGACCGGGCTCCCTCCCTCTTTCCGCTGCTGCCCCCCTGCCCTAACTCCACCGGGCCCGCCCCCCCCGACCCTGTGAAGGTGGCCGGGCGGGCAGCCACTTCATGGGAGTCACCAAATAAACCTATGGGCTTCCCGCAGGAACCGCGTGTGGCGCCCTCCCGCCGTGCACTCGGCCAGGGTCCCTTCCTCCAGGCCACCTGAAGAGCTGGCAGGCTGGGGGAAATGTGATCTCTTTTACTCGACCAGAGGGGAAATTTTTATTTCCTTGAGGAAATTGTTCTTTACAAGCTTTGGGGTGGGGGGGTGCATCTACATGTTCATTAAGGGCACATCTCCACGTGTGCATTTACTGCGCGGTAACTGAAATCGCCACCCTACATGTGCACCCCTGTAATGTGCAGCAGCTATGGTGACTTACACCAACTTGAGTGTAAATTTGATATCTGCATCGTACAGGTATCAAATTTACACCCAATTTTTTACCACACAGTAATGCACATGTAGACATCTTACTGCACAGTAATACTCTGTGTGTGGACCAATTTGGGACTAACTGTAGTCCCACACAGAGTTATTGAACTTTAATGCCTGCACATGTAGACACTGGCCTATTCCTGCTTACTGCACAGTAAATTTAAGATGCATGTGTAGACATGCTCTACTGCTCCTTAGATACTGTGCATTTAGTTTACTACGTCCTTAATAAAGCACTAACTAAATGCGCAGTACCTAGAGTTACTGCACAGTATCACCAGCACATGGTGATTTAGTGACACTTACTGAGCCTTAGCTTGATAACACTGTGCAGTAGGCTATTAGCATGATTTTTGCCATGACGTGCTATTGTGTTACTAGGCCAATGCACAGGAAGCGTCACGTGTAGATGTGCCCAGGGAGTCTGCTGCTGTTTGCCTTCTCTCCTGGGCCTGAATGGAAGCTTAAGCCAAGATGCAAAATGTAGGTCTGTGAAAACACAGATGCATGACAGGGAGGATCAGAGGCGATGGGAGGCAATAGGGGTGCAAACACTTATGCCAGATTCGCCAGACAAACCCACAGTTTTCTACTATGAACCCACAGTGTCACACCTGTTCTGCCCTGCTGCCATCCACTACTGCCCTGATTCTCATCCCCCACCCCCCTTCCCCTCCCCAACACTCAGAAGGTCATTGGGTGACATTGATGCTGTGAGGTGGGCAAACACATGGGAGTCACCAGATAAACCCAGAGATTTCCCACAGGAACCCAGTGTGTCGTACCCGTTCTGCCCCGCTGTGGTTCCCTCCTGCCATGACTCTCAGCCAGGGGTGTCCCCCCCTTTGAGATCCTCCTAAGGGTGGCAGGTGAGACAAGTGCTGTGAAGGGTGCAGAGGCTTGCCAGACAAACCCAGGGATTTTCAATGGGAATTCTGTGTGTCACACCCCTTCTGCCCTGCTGTGGTTCCCTACTGCCATGACTCTTAACCAGGGGTCCCCCCTTCCCCAAGATCCTCTTAAATGCAGCAGGCAAGACAAGTGCTGTGCATCATATACACACTGGCTGCATCTACATGAGACGCTTACTGCGCAATAGCTCGTTACTACTGTGCAGTAGTGTCACATGGCACAAACTGTTATAGCGCCTGTGCCCAAAAGCTTGCAACGGACAATTCTTCCAACTATAAAAGATATCACATTTACCCAAAGGACCTTGTTTGCCTATGTCCTTAGACCAACACCCAGATAAACCTGGAGATTTCCACTGGGAAATCTAGTGTATCATGCCTGTTCTACCCCACAATGCTGCTTCTAAGCTCCTGGCCACAGACATGGTGCTTTATGACAGCGTTTCTTTTTCCTGGCATTAAAAAGAAGTGAAATTAGTTTTTCAAATAGGGTGCTGCTACTTCAGGAAAGTTATGGAGGGGTGCCGTGAGTCTAACGTGGTTGAGAACCACTACTTTGTACAGTGATTCTCAGCCAAGCAGCCTGGAGATCCTTTCATGGGATGCCAGAGGGTGCCATGCAATGTCAGCACTGTGAGGAATGCAAGCATGATTTCCAAGATAAACCTAGAGATTTTAAACAGGAATCTGTAGCATGAAAAGCATTCTGCTCTGCTGTGGGCTTGCTGAGTTCTTTGCCACAGAAGAATTGCTCAAGTATTTTCCTGCACTCAAAAACCAAGTGAAAATTTAAGAGTTGGCCTTTTCTGAGGTGCTCCTTGGGTCTAAAACAGTTGACAACCGCTACTCTACACTCTGGGCTGCCCATCTGCAAAAGGGATGTCACAAATCCTATCACCCAGAGCTGCAGTGGTTTTTTTAATTAATTTTTGCAAAGCACTTTGATCTGGAAGGTGGTGTATATATGTTATTTACACACCTCTGTCTCAGTGTGTTAGCAGCACTGCTTGAACAAAATTTATTGCATGCCAGCAATTACCATGTTCCCCCAGGTGGAACAACAGCCACTAGCTATTTGTCAGTCTCTGCCAGTGCAGGTCATCAGAGCACATGGGGCTGAATAGGAACCTGCAAATCAGCGTTTCCCTTCACAGCTTTAGTAATAAATATAGAAAAACTTGTGACCCTATTATCTTTAGATATGACTAAATCCCACAGTTTCCTGCATGTGACATTGAGTGCTTTGGTTTCTGAAATGGAAGAACTTTTTTCCTAAAGGTTTCTAAACAACTAGCCATTGAAGCCTCTAGGAAGTGGTAAACGGGTGGAAACTGGAAAAAAAGATTAAGTGACATTAAACATCGGTGAAAGATGTCAGACTGATAGGCCAAAGGGCTTCCCAGCCCATCCCCTCCTTCAGCCTCTTTAGCATACTGCTGTTGCTAAAATCATCTCCTACTGCTGCTGCTGTTCCACCGTCTCAGTGCAAATTCTCTTTTTAGGTCCTGTACAGTTTGCTTCTGTGTGTGTATCTCATCTTCCCTGCCTTCCTCAGCTCTGTTGGGCTGCATACCCTGCTCAAACCTTTTTTCCCTGAATGCTGCCTGTGTTTCCTTCTACTCTCAAGTTTGTGGTTTCTTTCACTGTACTCTGTGCATTTGAAAGCAGTCTCCTCCTTGTGTCACGAGTTTTCTCCCTTGTTCTTCAAAGTCTCTGTTTCAGAAATAACAAATCTTTCTTCCTTCCCCTCACAAAACCAGTGGTACTCTGGTGATGCCAGGTATGCATAGTTAGGGTCCCTCTTGTTTTTAACTCTTCTGCCTCATCCTACAAATGTATTTGTCTGCTTGTGCACTTTAGTACGTAGGCATTGTTTTCCCTATCATATTTGTTGGAATCACACTGCAAAACCCTCAGAAACCAGGTCTTACTTTGTATTTAGAATTAAACATGGACACTGTGGAGTTGTGTATACATGACTTGTAATAATAATGTTATGTGTGTATCCACAAAACGTTTACAAAATAGTACAGTCTTTTCATGATAAGCATTTACCCTGTGCTAGGGCAATTACCTATAATGGAGAGGCTAAACCTACACTATAGCCTTCTGCTGGCACACCTATGTTGCTCAGGGTTATGAAGACATGTGATACTCGACTGACAGAGCTGTGCTGGTCCATGTCTGTAGTGTTGATATAGCTATGCTGGCTTTTACTAGTCTAGCTTGTTACACTCGGAGAAAAGATTGCACACTTGCTACAGCTTTGCTAATAGGGCTGGGTCTATACTAGGAACACATTGCAGGTAGTGTACTGATATTCCTATACAGGTCAGGTGGTCTGGTCTCCATAATCTTGTCAGTCCTTGACTGTTTGGACAAGAAGTAATTTAGGATGAAAACTGAACTTGATTATTGTTGAACATTTTCCACTAGGAACTGGCCTGAGAACCACTCATTTTTGGTGCCTGAATCTGTGATGGCAACTGTAGGATACCACAAAGTTGCCTGGATGTAGCAGGAACCATGCTAGGAGGGGTTGAAGACTGGTGCAACTCAGCTAATACACAGTACCATGCAGTTTCCTTTGTTGTATTAATGAGCACAGAAAGAAAGATAGCAAGCTTAGGTCATGGCCAGGGTGTCAGACATTGTCCTTACCACAAATACTGTTTTTTGGGTAGGCAACTAGAAATGCTGGTTACAGGTTAGGAAAACACAGGGCATGTCTATAAGAGACCTTTAATGTGGAGCTGCCTAATTAGCTCACCGTAAACATCTGAGCATCTACAGGTGCCATGCTATTAAGCAGGGGTAAACTAATTAATTCTGCAATAAGTTAATACTTGTAAATACAAGTACAATTCTGCCGCTCTGCAGTAACACATGTAGATGCCGACCTGGCTAGCTGGGGCACAAGGGTGCTTCAGTGCAGGGGCTGCCTGCTGGCTAGCCCACACGGGAGCACCCTTATGCCCCAGCCAGCCCCTCCGCAGCACACCAAGCTGCGGGGAGCAGCCCCAGACTGGCAGGCTGACCTCACCTGCCAACCAGGGCTGCTCAGACCCAGCTCAATGTGCTGTGGTCCCGGGTGTACATGCAAACAGTACAGCTGGGAGCAATAAACTCTGGCAGGTATGCTCTGGAGTTTATTACTTTGGATTAATTGTATGTGTAGACACACCCACTGATGCCAAAACTGAATGGCATACTTTTTATTTAGTCCTCCCTGGCAAGGTCCACCTAGCATTTAGCATAGCTCCTCAATTGCCATGGAAGAGACAGCAACTGAAGTTCAAACTATAAAATCCCATGATGCAACTTCAGTAACAAAATATTTTCCCATCACCACTCAGCTAAGAGTTCTGGGGTTTTTTCCCCCTTGTCCTTTTGACTTTTCTTTCCTGAGAATGAGTTTGGCATTAATAAAGAATTCCAGCTCATTTTGGAAAGTCCAAAAAGCAGCAGCACATCCAGGAGATGGTGTTTAGCACCTGACAAGTCAGTGATTTGGGAGTAAATCTCCTGCTGATGCTATTTGGTTTTCAGCACCTTCATTTTCCAGGCAATTGAAATTCTTGGTCCAAATTAGCTGGTCTATTTCATGCACTGCCTAACTTGAGGGGAGGTGGGGCTAGGGCTATAAAAATAAACCAGTGCCTCCAATTTGCATTGCATTAGGAGTAGGGGGAGTGCAGGGAGAATTGCTTTAATAGGCACTGTGAGTCTATGACGTTGTTTTCCTTTTTCACTGTACGTCAAACAGATGAGCTGCACATGCTTGATCTCCCCTAGTGGAAAGAGAATTAGTTTAAGATGTGAGAGAAGTTAGCCTGCAGTTTTTCTGAGATGAACACTGAAATAAAAAATAATTTACACAAAAGGTTCCTTTGCTTTGGTCATCCTTGAGTGGTCCTGGGATGAATCAGGTAGTGGCTACTTCTGGCCACAGGATGCCAGATTGCTCCTGCTCTGACCTGGGATAATGAACCCTGCTGTCCTGAATGTTTCACCAGCTCAGGTGGTAGGCTTGCCAGCATTTAGCAGGGCTGTTCAGGTCACAAATGTCAGTAGCTGGTTAGACAATAAACTTAAGCAACAGAAGGAAGAACCTATGCCCTTAGCTCCCAGCTGGAGAGAAGGCAATTCATTAGCATCCCATGCCTCCTACCCCGTATAAGACCTCCATGAAGCCCTGCAGGGTTTCAGCTCCACAGGTGGGGTGGAACTTGAGGGGAACCAGAGGGGTGGCTAGCAGTTCTCCTTTCACCTCACACACAGCTTGAGGCAGTCCAGCTTATTGCAGATCTAGCCTGTAGCCACTGACAGCATCTCCCCAAGTTCAGCAGGTTGATTGTAGCACCAGCCAGAGGAGCTGATGCAGATGTGATGCTATTCACAGTGGCTTGCACAAAGGGGCTTTGAGCGAGTTGCTTGCAATCCATAGGTTTGGGAGAGGTAGCTAGCCGTGTTAGTTTGAAGTCAGGCAGAAAGTCAGGGCAGGGTGTTCCCTCCAGAAGCTTATGCCTCTCTGAACCAGTCTTGAAGGTGCCCCTCTGCCCTGCCAATCCACAAGTTTGTGTGGGTCCCACACATCTGGCATTTCACATCTCTGGAAAGAAACTCTGCAAGCTGAAATTGGGGAAGGGGGCGCCTCTTTAACTCCCCTGTCTTTGCAGGGCACAAGAGCATCAATAGCACCATCCACTGGAAGATCTCAAATACCAGGTCAGCTTCATAATAGCTGGACAAGGCTTGTATACCTATCACCATTTCACAGGCAGGGAAAGCAAGGCAGAGGACTGCACTGACTTGTCTATGATTATTCTGGTGAGTCACAAATGAACTTGGAATCCAGGTCTCCTGGCCTGCAATATTGTGGGTTAACTACTAGAGTAAGGTACCTCCAGTGCATGTATGGCATGTGGGGCATTAGTGCTACCCTACCGCCCGGAGAGGAACACCTGAAGCAGAGAGGTAACTGGCCAGTAGTACTGTGCCCTGGAGGTCAGCAGCAGACAGTGCAGTGGAGTTTTACTGCTGCTGGGAAAGATGTCATCTGCCTTTGTTTTCTACTGACATGTGTCAAGTGGCCTAAAAACCCACTGGTTTTCAGCAGCAAAAAAGGTGACATCTCTCCAGCAGCAGTGAACTTCCAATCACTGCACTGTCTGCTGCTGACCTCCACGGCACAGAACTACTGGACATGTGTCATAGCTCCTCTGCCTTGCCTGCTGCAGGAGCTGGAACTGCTCCAGGGACAGTGTAGGGTGCAAAGATAGGAGGGTGAAGCTTCCCCTAGCTCCATCCTGGAACCGCCTCCATTTCTTTATGCTGCCCCTGGGGTTTGTGCCCCATTCACCCACCAATTGTTATGCTGCTGTTCGGAAGCACTTTTCACAAACACTTTTCTGGCAATGGTTCATGGCTCATCAAACCAGCATTATACCCTGCCTGACTGCAATTTGCCTTATACCAGTGGTTTTCAACCTGTGGTCCGCAGACTGTTTAAGGCAGGGGTAGGCAAAAAGCAGCCCGTGGGCTGGATTCAGCTCACCAACTTATTGGATCCAGGCTGTGAGCAGTCACTTGCTAATGACTGGATCTAGCCTGTGGCTGCCCCTGCAGCACTCCCAAGGGGGCCAAGCCCTGCCTGGGGCAGCCCACACTGGCCCTAGCTCCGGCCAGTGCACACAGCTTCCTGGTGGGGCTGCTCCTGATGCTGCTTGGCTCCCCTGGCCTTCAGCAGCTCCTCCCCCTGCTGCACCACTGTGAACATGGGGGGAGCTGCAGCTGGGCACCTCCTGCCCCAGTGTGCAGGGCTCCAGCTCCCAACTGCCTTCCACCCACTCCATCTGCCCAGAGTAATGAGCAGACACCTGTGGATGGCCAAGTGGGTAGAAGGGAGCTGGGAGCTGGAGCCTCACATGCTGGGGCAGGAGCTGTTTGGCCACAGCTTCCCCCCACACCTAGGGTGGTGCAGCAGGGGCAGGAGGAGGAAGAGCCACTGGAGGCCAGGGGAGCTGAGCAGGACCCGGGCAGCTGGAGCCATACTGGGAGCAGCCGCATTGGGAAACTGTGCACAGGCCAGGGGCAGGACGGTCTGGTGGGTGTGGGCAAGAGTGTGGCACAGGCTGCCGTGGGTGGAAGTGGGCAGGGCTCAACCCCCTGTGGAGTGCTGCAGGGGCAGCTGCAGGCCAGATAGGGGAGGGAGGGGGCAGACTGCACCTGCACCTACACTGTGCCACCTGGTTAAGCTCTGGTGCACATGCCAGCTACCCCTGGCCAGCTCTCAGGACCTCCCACATTAGCAGCTCCCCACACTTGCACACCTACACACCTCCTCACACACCCCCACATACTTCCTCCCCACACACACATACCCACCCACATCCCTTACACAAGAGTAAGAATTTATTTTGAGCTACTAGGCAATCCCCTGTATATACACTACTCAAAAACCCCACCATAAATCAGGACAAAACTATGCTCAGGCACTGTTTACTATTCAGCCACGAGGTTCATACATGCATCATTGTTGACGGCTTGTAAGTCTGAGGTTGAACACTGCTGTAAGAGGTGTGGCTAGCAGTATGTCTATGGCCTCCCTAACCCCACCCCATTGCTATAGATCTGAATGGTTCAGCTGATGGTGCAGCTAATATCTGAGGATCTGCCCCAGTCTGAGTAAGTCAACATGGCCCAATTGCTCTGCTAAGGAAATTAGCCCTGATCAACCACTTGTATTCACATAAGCTACAGAAATGAGGTGGTGAAGTTGCCTTGAGGGCTGCCCCAAGAACAGCTGCCCAAGGTGCCTCCCAGGGGTACCACCTCATTTCTGAGGCTGATGTATGTGGAGTGGGAGTGGCTGGGTGTGGCTATTTTCTTCAGTGGTGTGACTGAGTTCCTGGCTGCCAAGGCACAAACCTACCCTGTGAGTCCTGGGCCTGGTTCTACTCCAGTTTTATACTGGCTTTGCTAGAGTCACTCCTGGTGGGAGTGCACAATCAGTCTCCTAAAGTTATCAGCTTTCACAGACAAAGGGTGCATCTACATGTGAAATTAATGCAATGCAATAAACTCTGGAGCAGTTTCAGCCCTTGCCAGCTGGGACAGCAGCACTTTGAGCCAGGGTGGAGTATCCCCAGGCTGGCAAGGGGAGTTAGCCCCAGGCTCCAGATGGTGGTGTCAGGTGGCAGAGGGGCTGGCAGGTGCAGGGAGTCAGGTCCCTAGCTGGCTGGGATGACCAGGCACAATTTGCACCCAGTCATGGTCTACACATGCATTCAATCACACTTAATGACTCGGCCATAAGATAGTACTGTCCCCAACAGTACCATTGCATGGCAGAGTTAATTTACTGCACCCTAATATCAGCACAAGTGTAGACCATGACACTTTACTGAGGAGCTAATTGCTCTACTCTGCAGTAAAGTGCATGTGTAGATGCATCCAAAAGGACTTGGCCACTTATCTCCTATGAGAAGACAATCCTCCCTGGGTAGCTCCCCTGTTCTGGTCAGTCCCTTTGTAACAAGTTTTTTGAGCAAAATTGCTTGAAAGAGGCCTCAGTCATGGCGCCCCAGACACACATTCATCTCTGCATGTAGGCTGGGCTGCATTGTGCAATAAACTACCTTCCCAGAAAACAAGAGATAACATGCATGCCTGCCTAGTCTGTTCTTGTCTGAGCACTAGGCAAATCAAGACCAACCCAGGTTCCAGGGCAAGAGAGGATCACTGCAAGGCAGGGGAGGCTTTGGTGCTGTGTGCTCCTGAACTTCTGCAGCAGCTTGGAGACGGGAACAAAAAGCTCAGGGCAGTGCTTATGTTGCCCTGGGAGGACCAGGAATCAAGGGCACTGGGCACCTCTTCAGAGTGTGTCCTCTACAATTTGCCCAAAGTAGCACAGCAAGTCAGCCGCACACTCAGGAACTGGATTCATATTTCCCCACCTTCTTTCCCCTCCCTCCTTCAACTCCATCCATTAGACTGTGCTGCCTTTTTCAAGACACAGGAAATCAATTGTAGATCCCTGTGGGAACTGCAGTTATAATCACTTTTTTAGATATGCTGAGGGGGACAAAAGCCTTCAGATGTGACCTACAAAGAAGCTTATACTAAGTACCAACCTCTCATCTTAAAGGTGAACTACAAAGGGAAAAAAACCCCTTAGACACAACATTCCCACCCATCTCAACCTTTGGCTGGGAAAGCTGCAGCTCAGGTTTCAGCTGGTTATGACATCACAGGCCTCCAGTAAGAGGAGAGAAGTCAGGACATGATATTCCCGATATTTCTAATGGGAGAAAGAAGTAGCAAATCGTTTTTGGAGGGTGAGGGGCCTTGGCACAAAGGAACAGGAAGAGACATATAAAGGGCTTTCTTCCTTCTTACAGCTCACACTTAAATAACTATGTTACTGGCTTCCTGCATAACTACCAGCACTACTAGTTTTGACTATGCCTTCAAGCACACCTCTGTTAGCTGCCCAACCTTTTTTGCTCTGTTGCATTGTGAAGACAGTATCCACTGGGTTGTTGTCAGGAAAAAAATCAAAGTTCATGTGTTCAGGGATAATAATCTTTCTAACCAATGATATTCCCCACATGCAAAAAAAAATGCTTTCTCAAGTATTAAGGTGTGAGGAGGTTGGTGTAACCTCTGGGAGACGTTTCTAAGCCACCATGTCACTGTTAAGTATTGGTTACTTGTTGAGTACCCCAGTGCATACAAGACACAGCATTCAGGTGCCTTTTTCTCCACCCAGAAGTGTTTCAGTCCATGATTCTGGGACCACCTTGCATCTGGCTGTAGAGCTTATTGTGATGGTGTGTAGTCAGACTGTTGCTCCCATATTCATGTTAGCAACCCCACTGT